CAATGCTTAGCAGTGTGAAAATTATTTAAATATGTAAAAACAAAATAAATGTATAAATATTTTTGGGCAGAGACACATTTCAAGAATAATTTTTAACGCATATTTATTATAAATTTATTTTGAATTGCTTAAATTGTTCTAGCTTAATAATATTTAATGGCTTGTGGAATAACTTATCAGTAAATATTACATGATATTTGTATTTGAAGCGTACCTAACCTAACTTAACCTTACATAACCCAACTTAACTGTACCTTACCCAACCTATCCTAACTCAAGCTTACATAACCTAACTTAATGTTACCTATCTTAACCTTACCTATCCTAACCTAACCTATCCTAACCTTACCTAACCTAACCTAACCTAACCTAACCCAACCATACATAACCTAACTTCAGCTTATATAACCTATATTTCATTTGAGAAAAAAAGACTAAAAAACATACTAAATATTTTAAATTAAATATGTTCTTAGCTGAAGTTTTCAATAATAATATATTTTTCCTAAATTTACTTCTTGAATGTATTTTTTAAAATTTAAAAAGAAAACTGATCTCTTAATTTCTTTGACTATCTATTTGCCAAAATAAATAATTAAAATGCGTGGCATCTTCAGGTCTGTCTGTCTATTGTTTATTTGCGCTCAAATATTTATGCATATTTTCCAGGCATATCAAAACATTTATTTTGTTTAGCTTGTGCTCTCAAAAGTAAACTTTTGTCTATTGAAATGTTAACACGTACATTTTGACCAAATTTAAGAAATTGCAATTTTATGTAAGACAACCAAGCAACCAACCTCCCCCCGCACCGCCCTCACACATTCCTGTCGCTAGCCGTTTGCCTTTGAGGCTGCCCTCAACTGTAGCAATGCTACCTTTTTTTTGTGCTGGTCCGTCTTTGGTGTCGGGAGAGGGGTGGTGGGGGCGGGTAAGGGTGGTGTAAGGCTTCAAGTGGAACTGTCTTTACAATCAACTGTTAGCCTGCCTGGCGTTCTCTTTTTCGGTTCTCTTTTGCAACTCCCTTTCGTTAGGCACGCTCGAACGCTCTGTCTCCCCTCTCTCTCTCTCTCTCTCTCTCTCTCTCTCTCACTCACTGACTCACTCGTTTAGCTCTTTGTCGCTGCTTTAATGCGCCTTTTGCTCAGCCTCGCGCTGTTAGTTAGCATTGCATTGTTGTGCCAGGCCATCTTGGCCATTCCATTTCTTCTTCTACTTCTATGCTGTGCTCACTCGCTCACTCTCGCTCACGCTGTCTGTCTGCCTGCCTCGGTCTGTCTGTCTCAGTCGTTGAGCTGACGTCTGCTTGGCTGGCCGCTTTGACAAAAGTTTTTTGCGCTAGTTTCTTGCCTTTTATTTGCTTCACACGCTGCGCCTTTAGTTTGTGTGTTTTTTGTCTATTTACGCCCGAATACCGAATATAAAATAATAAAAATAAACAGCAAAAGAAAAAAAAAAATAAAATGGCAAAATCAAAAACATATAAAAAAAACAAGACAAGTGCCGTTATATTTGCAATGGCAAAGTTTAAATACTCTGGCGGACGGACATGCAAGCGTCAAATACACCATGTACATATATATGTTTGTATGTGTATGAATGTCGTTTTGTTTCTTATTAGCATAACCAGGCGCAGCTTGTTCTGATTAAGTAAATATATATGTGTGTGTATATGTGTGTGTGTGTTTTTGTATCCCCGAAGACATATTCTGCAATGCGTTACATATTACGTGTCGAAAGTGTGCTAGCCGCTGCAAGTGTATAGCAAGCAAGAGAGAGAGAGAGAGGGAGAGGGTGAGCGAGAGGGAGAGAGCAAGGCAGACGAGCGAAAAGTAGGTAAAAACTTTTTGGCCACCTACTTTATGCTGTTCGCATTTCGTTTTGCTGTTGTTGTTGTTGTTGCTGCTGCTGCTTTTGGCCAATTTCCGGTAATTCAGTTTTATGCAGGAACTTTTTGCGTTTGTATTTATATAAATAAATATGATGCCAGCGGCAAATGGCGATGCTCAACGCTCAAACCGACAGATCGCAAGGACTCCAAGGTCAGCTGGCATGTGTGTGTGTGTGTGTGTGTGTGTGTGTGTGAGAGTGTGTGCTATGCGTATGTGTGTGTGGCGCACTTTAAATCGTTGCGGCTATGGCAAAAGTTTTGCCATTCGCGCTGCTTGGCCAAATATAGCAACAAATGATGAGCATTATTTATGCTTTGCTAGTCTGCCTGTGCGTGCGTGTGTGTGTGTGTGTGTGTGTGTGTGCGTGTGTGTGTGCTAGCTTCTTTTGCGCACTTGGTTTATGTTGCTACATAATTGACTTTGATAATTTTCACTTATTGTTGTTGCCCAGCTACCAACAACAACAACAACAACTGACAGACAGACGCAACAGATTAAAATTCTCTGTTAATTTGATTAGAAAAGTTTGTGCACGTTCCGCTTGCCATCGCGTTCCCTCATTCCATGCCGCGCGTTTCACATTCCAGTGTTCCGCGGTATTGCGATTATGAAGTGCAAATGTGGCACATTTTTTTAAGCACTCGGAAGTTTCTTAATTTTTTATATACTCAAGCTTGTTTGATTTTTCGTAAATTGTTTGTTATATCTACTAATAATAATATGACATATTTGTAATTATCAAATATTTAGAATGCCTTATAGATCACTCTTAAGCACCTACTTAAATAAATAATTTAATAGGCTGCCCAATACCCTACAGTTGTGTGCCAGAAATTTGCTGGCCAAAGATTTGGGGATGTGGCCAAAAAACAATTGTTGCCACAACTACTTGCAACATCCGACTCAATAAAAGCTCTAAGCCAAATGCTTTGTGGGCGCTTATACTAGGCATAGGGTATCTGTCAGTCAGTGTAATGCGATGTTTACACCATCAACTGTGGTTGATCGGTTTTAGTTTGGCCTAAAGGCAATTGGATGCTTTTGAGTTTATAAAACTTGTCGATGCACAAAAACATTTAGAGAAGCTTTAACTATATACATATATACACACATATATATAAAGATATGTGCATATATACATATATCTGGCGAATCTGTCTATTAAATGTGTGCCAGCTGCGAGCGCACTTGAAAGGCATTTTCAGTGCTTTTAAAAACAAAATAAAAAAAATATTTCGTAGTTGGTTGTTTTTTTTTTGTTTTGCTCTAGCTGCCGCCACGCCCACTGCCCCCCTTTTAACCAGGCAGCGCTGCTTTGTTGTGGTCTAAGCCACATTCTGTGCGCGCATAGTTAAAAGCCAGAGGGGTGGAGGGGGGGGGGGTGGCGCAGGCGTGGGCGGTGGCGGATAAGACACGCAAATTTGATTGGCAGCGGGGCTTTCTATTGGGCCAACAACAACAACCACAGCCAAAAGCAGCAGCAGCAGCAGCAGCAGCAGCAGTAACAAAAACCAACTTTGTCATAGACAATTGGCCAAAAGGAAAAAAGAGAAAAAAAATTTGAAATGCAAAATATAAAAGTTGGCCAATTCGATTGGGGCGCAAATTGCAGCATTCGATTTTGCAGCACGGCGAGAAACTTGCTGCAAAAATGTGTCTAAACGCAACACGTTCGTCTAAGCCGACGCACGAGCCAGCCAACTTGGCAGATGGAAAATTTTTGAAAAGCTTTGTTTCGCTTTTGGCAAAAAGTGCAGAGTTCCACAAATAAGCTGACATACTTTTGCCATGAGTGGCAAATCAAATCTATAAGAAATGCAACTCTCTGTTTATGCCAATTAGATATATGTAGGGTATTTGTTAACTAGAACAAGAAGCTGTTCTGCATTTAACTTAAGTTTATTCTCATGAATATACGAACTATCTTAAGATTTGTACTTAACATAATTCTCTTGAATATGCGAATTATCTTATATATAGATAGTGACTTCATATACGAACTATCTTAAGATAGTTACCTAAAGATAATTCATTTGAATATATGAATTATCTTAAGATATGTACTTAAGTTATTTCACTTGAATATGCAAATTATCTTAAGGTAGATATTTCTTTATATTTATCTTTGCAAGGCTGAAAGTTAAATATTCTTGCTATTATCTAGAAATCAGATTTGCAATAAGATATTTAAATAGAGCGGAGCTTTTAACTGAAGCTCTCAATTTTGAATAAATAGTAAGATTCTTCTCAGACTTGGGCTCAATTTACAACAGTTAGTTCCAATTGGACTAAAGGCTATATAAAATTATTGGTTAAATTAATAAATTATTTTTTAATTATATTACTTTGCATTTGTCAGCATAAATACTGCACCATCATAGAAATCCAACCAGAAAAGTTAGTCCAATTGGCAATTTAGCTTGTATATTTTTGAAAATGTTCCAAATTTCGCTTTATGAATTTCCCCCCCAAAAAAAGTGCACACATTCTAATTAGAACTACGAGCAGCATGTGGAAGCCAATTGGTAAATGCACTTGGAGTACGTCAGCTGCATCTAATCTCATTAGAGTCCAATCAGATTATCAAGCTGCATCAACAGCTTCGAGTTCAATTGGAGTGCATCAGAAATTAACACCAATCGGCTGAGCATAACAATCAATTGCACACACACAAATATGCAGACACACACACGCGCAAACACACGCACACACACGCGCACACACTGCTATATTCCTATTGGACACATGCTCAGTAGGCTAATAGGATAATTTGAGTTGGAAGCTGCTGCTGAGCTGTTTAACCCTTTGTTGGGCAGCTTAAATATAATTTCATTAAAATGCATGCAAATGTGAGGGGAGTTCAAATTAGTTATAGCTGATGTATTAATTGACAGCTGCAATTGATAAACAACAAAAGAAAACACACACACACACACACACATGCACAGCTTGCGGCAGCTGAAAAAAAGTGTAGCATACTTTTCAGCGCAGCGCATCGCAGCGCTTAACTAATAGCCTGCCTCTTGCCGCCGCCCCGCGCTGCCCAGGCTTTAAGCACCACTCGCTGCGGACTGCCACTTAAGTCTGTCTTAAATATAAATAACTTACCATAAAGAAAATGTCCACAATTTGGGCAGCAGCAGCGTGAAAAGCGCCAGCAAAGTTGCAGCAGGAAAAATGCGCGCACAAGACACAATTTTCTTGTTGTTGTTGTGGCTTTTGTTGTGTGTCTTCGTTGTCGTCTTTGCTGTTAGTGTTGTTGTTGTTGGTGTTGTTGTTGTTGTTGTTGTTGCGGCCTTGGGCCTGCCTGCGGCTTGTTTTGTTGCCTGTTCGAGTTTAGCAGCTTTCCGCAAAAAACGGGTTTTTCTGCGCTCGGTTTTTTTTTTAAATACAATTTTTTTTTGTGGCTGCTTTTATTTGAGATTTTGTTGTTGTATTATTTTTGCGTGTTGCAGGTGCAGCGCGAGCTGCTGCGTCTTGTGGCAGCTTGTTACTTGTCGCCTGGGCCAGAGCCAGAGCCGGAGCCAGAGCCAGAGCCCGCGGACCGGTTGCACAGGAAGCTGCACAAACACACACACACGCACACGCACACACACACACACAAGAACAAAAAAACAGATATGTTTCTTAGCTTTTATCACGCTAAATAATTGCACCAAAATTGACTTTGAAATTGCAAGAAAATTCACTTTGTATAGAATCCTGCTGGCATATATAATATTTATATATTTAATTATTATTATAATTTTTTTATTTTTGGTGGGGACAGGGGCTTTGTTTGTAAACTTTAGTTATTTGAACCTACGACAACAAAAACCAGCACTTGCAAAAAAAATGGCAACAAAAACGCGTCGAGATTTGCTTTGAGACCGTTTTAGCCACATTTCCATATATCATATATACATATATGTCTATATATATATATATATATATATATATATTTACCGATTTGTATAATTACTCTCAAGTATTTAACGTGTTTTTCGATTTGTGACCAACTGACGGAAGTGGCGGGGTTGACGGTACGCGACGCTCTGTTGTCGTTTTACTGCTGCTGCTGGCCGTCCGGCTATAGTTTTCCGGGCGTCCACAAACGATGTTTAACAGTCGCTAGTCGGAGTCGGAGTCACAGTCACAACACAGCGTGTCCGTTGGGCTCGTTGGGGCGACACGACTGTTTGCTAACACGGCGGAACACGTACTAAAACATGTTTCACGCGCTTTGCTGCCGCGTCCAAGAGCGAGTTTCGGCATGCCAGCGACAGAGGCAGCGGCAGCGGCAGCGGCAGCGACAGCAACAGCGACGCCAGCGTTAACAGCAACAGGCGTTGGCACGCGTAGCGCATTGCAGAAAACTGTTCCCAGCATTGCCGTCGCGTGCGCGCATTCGTTGCTGCTGCTGCTGCTGCTGCTGTTACTAAAACAAAAACAACAACAAAAAATAAGAAAGAAACGACGCTGTCGCATTGTCGCTCTCAGTGTGTACTAAAAAGCGAACACGAAGCGAGACGAAGCGACTAACGAACGATAACAGCGAACGGGACGATTCCTTTTGCAAAACCAGGTCGTTGTCTTCGTGCCCTCGTGCTCTCGTGCTCCGGGCCTCTCGGGCTCTCGGACGCTCGGGCTCGTTGTTGGCTGGCTGACGCCAACGGCAGCTTGTTTGCAGTCGCTGCGTCTGTTAAGGATAACATAAGCGCTGCGCTGGCCCCTAACAGCGTCTCTTTATAAATATCAACCAGCAGCGCGGGCAGGCTTAAGTGATATTATATACAAGCATAAATTAGCCCATGCCCCGCCGTCTACCTCACAGCTCCCCTGTTTCACACACCCACGCATTCGCTCTTGATTGGTGGGCAGCAGATGCAGCAAACAGCAGCCGGAAGCTACCAAAGTGACAGCAACAGCGGCGGCAGCAGCTCCCCTCTACTACATTGTGGTGGAGGAGGTGGGTCAGAGAGAACGAGAAGAGGGGAAGGGGGGGGGGGGCGCCCATCGATGGTCGATCGCCCGCTGTGAAAGTGTTATATGGGAATGGTGCCTGGCACACAAACTGCATGCAACTGGCACAGCGAGACGGGAACAGTTGACTCAAGCTGAAATCCATTAGGGTCACACTTGGAGAAGTCTTCTTCTGACCAGTTAAATACTTAACTTATTGACTATGGATTAGCTGCGTCAGTAACGGTTAAAAAGTACACTAAAATAAAGAACACAGCACAAAACTTGCGCTGAATATAAAACAAAATTACAAAAACTGAGCTGAAGGCCTCAATGCTAGCATATAATTTAATTGTTATATTATTTACTGTTTTTTATAATTATTTTTTGTGTTTTTCTTAATGGAACAGTCCCACTCAGCATTTCTTTAAAATTATGCTATTCGTCTGGCTTTTCTCTGAGCCGTAGTTATAGACTTTTATGCTTTAATTACAAATATTTTCGTTTTCTTTCGAAAATTTAAAAAAAATAAATAAAACAATGACTGATGTTCAAGCCAAATATTAATTCTTTAAACAAACGCCCTGTGACCATTCACGACTGTGGATACACTTCCTCACATTTGCTGTGATCACTTAAACAGTGACACACTATGATCCTACACATGAGAGTTCCAAGAGAGCATTCATGGCTGTGACGCCCTGTGATCATTCGAGCTTACTGTGATCAAGCACTCCGGTATGTTATTCTCTCCGGTATTTCATTGACTTCCTGTGATCACTTAAACAGTGATCCACTGTGAGCATAGACACAAGTGTGTCCAGGGTTCATTTAGGGGTTTGACGCCCTGTGATTATTCACACTAACTGGGATCATATTAGAGTATATATAAAGCTTCCAGGTAATGACTCAAACTGTGATCTACTATGATCCTAACTATGAGAGTGCCTATCATATATTCTAGAGTTCCCTTTGATCATTTGTGCTTACCGTGATCACTAGAACAGGGATTCAATTTTATCATATACTCTGGAGCTCCTGTGATCGTTCGCACTTACTGTGATCATTCCATCAGTGATTCAGTGATTCATATGCTGTATTCACTGATATACTTAGATTCACATTGACCGTAGACTCTAGTTTTTCCACGGCTGTGACAACCTGTGATCATTTGTACTTACTCTGATCAAAGTGTTTCACTTTTATAAATGGTGATATATCTCACGGCGGTGACTGATTGTGATCATAAGCACTTACTGTGATCACAGTGATTCACCTTTATCGTACTCTCTAGAGTTTACTGGGATATCACAGTGATTAATATACTCTAGAGTTGTCAGGCATCTGTCTAGACTGTGACTCCCTGTGATCAGTCACAGTCGAGGCGAACGATCGCGGCGAGTTTCTCTCAACTGGAAGTGACTGATTCACACAACCGTGACACAGCACATGGAGACGCCCTCAAATCGGTTCGAGGAACTATTGACAATGCAACTTGAGATTGTTGCTGTTAAACAAATTTACTGATTGTGAATGAGGTTAAAAATTTGAATAAAATGCGCATGCAAAAATTGGCACAATGTGCTGAGAGCAAAGATATTACAATAAAAAAAAAAAGAGAGAAGAAGCGAACAGCGAAGAACAAAGAACGAAAGCACAAGCTGACAACAACAACAGCAGCAGCAGCAACAACAATGAGAAAGAGAGAAAACAAAACAACAATAACAACGGCAAACAGTTGCCGCCTCATAATTAAAACGCTTCGAGTGGCCCAGAATGCAAGTTGGCCCAGCTCTGCACATCTCAGTTACCTCAGACACCTCCCCCCCCCCTCCCCCGCCCCTCTTCACCCTCTATGCCAGCTACAAGTTGCCCCTCATGCGTGTCTGTTACCCACAGCCTTCCATGTGCAAATTGTTTTCATGCCCAAATTGTTTGAGGGGCCCCCAAACAAAATTTACGAGCAACGCCCCCCTAAAAATCACGAGGGTCGCACCTCCCCTCCCCCTCCCCCCTCCCCACTCCCCACTCAATCCACCACTCGATATGAATGGCTTGCCATGCGGCATATGTGTGGCGGATGCGGCGTTGTGACAGGCAAATGTCAATAGTTTTCTTGGACGTAGTCGTTGCAGCGACCGTGCCACATGCCGCCCCCCCCCAAAACGCCTCACCTACCAAATGCCCAATACCCAGCCTATCCCCAGCCTATCTTGCCAGCATTCCCTATTTCCCCATTTCCCATTCCCTTTTCGTTGGCAGCAACAAGAGCCGCCCATCAACGACAAATCAATGACGACGACACATGTTGGACATGGAACAACAACAACAACTTGAAAGAAACTGAAACTGAGTGGCAGACGAGGCAACTGCCGCAGATTGAAATTGAGGCAGCGGCAACAACAACAACAACAACAACAGCAAACAGCAGCAACAATAAAAGCATTTAAGCATTTGGAAGCAATTACCACAGCAATGAAGCATTGAATGAATGGGAATGAAACCAAGAGAATGGCAAGAACACACAACACACGTGCATGCCGTGTGCGTGTGCGTGTGCGTGTCTGTGTCTGCGGTGTGTGTGTGTGTGTGTGTGTGCTTGGTGTGATCGGTCCAGCGCCTAAAAACGAATTTATGTGCATTTTGCCAGAGATTGGGCACAGGGGATTGGGATTACTTACTTAGCAGCAGCATTGACGAAGACGAAGACGAAGACAGAAACGAAGACGGAAACACGAGACGCTTCAAATGCCAATGAGCCGAAACGATAAGCCAGCCAAGTGTGGGAGTGAGGGAGACAGGATGCAACAGTGGGAGAGAGCGATTGAGAGATTGGCGTTCGGCCTTCAATTGATGACAACGTTGCGTGGCGGCTGTTTCCGCGCCCTGTCGCTAGCGGAAGCGCGTAAAGCCGCCAGCGAATGCTGCTTCCAGTGAAACGTGCCTCTTTCAATGTTGGGTGGGCGCTACCGATCCGACGAAAAAAAGAGAGCGAAAGAGCGCGCGCCGAGTATAGACCAGGGGGAGGGGTCGAGGTGGGTAATGAGAGCGAGATCGTTAGCGTGTGCTCTAATTGCTGCACTTCAAAATTGTGGAACGCACGATGTTGACTGCAAGAATTTATTTCCTAGAAAGCGGGTATATTAGTTTTTAAATTAACAAAACTTCTTTTATTGCCTCACATCATTGAAAATTGTTGAAAAATGTTTTGAAAAAGCAAAAAAAACCCAAAAAGAAATACATACTTATTTTTTTTACAGCTTTACATAAGCTTTATCAGCACACACAGACACAAACACACACACGCTACAACGTGTTTAATAGGGTATATGGACGTCGTTCAGCTGCTCCTCTTAAGCGTTCGCTGCATTTAATTGTTTTTTTTTTTTTTTTGGGCGTATTTTACGATGCGGCGCTGTCGTTGTTGTTGTTGCTGCTTTTGTTTATGTTCTGCCTCTTTAACGGTGTTATGATTACAGTTGTTCGCTGCTACTGCAGTTGTTGTTCTTGTTCTTGTTCATCTTGTTGTTCTGGCTGCGGCCTGCGAGCATCGTTGACAGCCGACAACGATACAAGCGCCGTTGACGATCAGAGAGCACAGTGGGACGAAAGCGTTCAGCAAATGCAGCGCATTAAGAATAATAATAATAATAGTAAGAAAGCAAAGAAGGTTGCGAGAAGTCTGGTGGGAAGTAGGATCGGGGAGATATACAAAGAGATAGAGAGAGAGAGAGAGACAGACAGAGCGAAAGAGGGAAATATAGTTAGTTATGCCCATTTGAAGGTATTTAAATGAAGCTAAAAAATACAAAAAAAATACAATTTCAAATAAAAAGCAGCACATTTGTTCGTTTAACCTTTTTGGCGCACCTGAGCCCACGGTAACAAACGCTAAATAACTGGCTAAATTCTTTCCCAAAAAAAGAAAAGAATGAAAAATAAGGGAACTAATCGGAAACGCTTTGCGCTTCCGTTTTTTCTTGAGTTATTTCCCCAGTTCATTTTCATTTCTCTTTTTAAGAGGTTTTTTTACACATCCTAAGCAGAGGGTCTTGTTGATTTTCGTATCAGATATGTGGTGTCACAATGCTGATATATCTGAACATTTAGGGTACCTATAAAGTGGCGGAATGAGGTATTTCGTCGCTATAGGCATAATTAACGGGATCTTCAGTTATATGGAATTAGCAAAATCGTGTTACTATATTCATATGTATAATATAGTTATAGTGCTATGTATGTCGAAATTAAAATTATTGTATGCATAGCCACTTGATTTTTAGTGCTGTCTTCGAATTTTACCTATGTATTTCGATTTTCCAGGCAGTTTTCTTTTAAAAGTTAGTCAAGTGAGTATATTTCATATACATATATTTATATTATATACAGTATAACAGCAAAAACAGCACAAAGAATTTAAATAAAAACAGAGGATTTCTTGTATATTTTTTTTGTAAGATTTTAATTTTAGCCATAAAAAATATTGTTTTATTTTTATTTTTTTTTTTTAATATATTTGAATTTTTGAAGTCTGGGAATAATTATTGTTATTTGATTTAATATGTTTGTTTTTTTTTTTTTTTTTATACCTAATTTAGGACCGGATGTTAAAGTTTCGTCATAATTATTATTATTTTGTTTTATTTTATTTTAAAATAGATTGTGAATGTCAGGGCATTCAAGTTTCGGCTTAAGAAAATTGTGGTTTATTCATTTTTTGTTTGTTTCGTGCACTTCAATAGAAAATTTTTAAATATTTTAGTTCCTGCTGTTGTTTTTTTTCTGTGTATTTATGTTTTAGCGCCTGTTGTGGCACTTATTTGTGTATTTGTGCATATGTATATATATAGATTTGTATTTGTATTTACATTTGTTTTTGTTGTTGTTTTTATTCTTTGTATAAAACGCGATTTCGCTTTTGTCGCTGTTGTTTTTGTTTCAAATTGAGTTTCGTTGTTGATACTTTTATTTAGACACCCGTGTCCCCGTGTCCCCGTTCCCCTGCCCGTGCCCGTGCCCGCTCCCTTGCCCCTTCCTATTCCCGGCTGCGTCTTCGGCCGTGACGCCGACTTCGAACCCGGCCCAGTTCCAGTTCGAGTTCCAATTCCATTTTCAGTTTCAGTTTCGAGTTCTGCTCGCAGCTTGAATAATAAGTAAATGCTGTTATTATAGACATGTGAGGGTGTGCATGCGTGTGCGTGTGTGTGTACCTGTGTGTGTGTGCGTATGTGTAAATGTTGTTGTTAAGGGACTTGATGAGCGCTTCCTTTTCCGCCAGTGCGAGGCCAATTATAAAGCTGTTTAAGCCGTTCGAGCGCAAAGCATTTCGCCAAGAAATACAGCTAAAATATCAATACAGAAAACTTTAACATCAGCAACATCATCATCATCATCATCATCATCAGCAGCAGCAGCAGCAACATCATTATCATCATTTGCTATTATTGCTGCTGCTGCTGCTGCTGCTGTCATTGTTATTATTATTGGAGGGGCACACGTCAATAATTGCGCTTGAAAATAAGTTAAGGAAAACACAATCAAGCAGAAGAGCGCGACCAGGGCTCGAGCAGACAGTCAGCCAAGCGCAGCTCCAGGAGTCAGCAGCCCAAGGAGCTGACTGAGTAAACTATACCGCCCCCGCCCCTGCCACCGCATTCCCCCCACACTCACACCTACACCTCGTTCCCTGCTTTGGCATTGCTGCCACGACTCGCGTTTAATGTGAAAATCATGCAATGAACCAAATTCAAACGGAAATGATTCACACTCCAGCTGCAGCACTCGTATGTGCTATTCAAGTGGGGGAGTCTTCCATATTATCATCATCATCCACATCATCCACAACATCATCATCATCATTATCATCGTGAGTTTTAGCAACATCGCAGTGTGCAGGCCAAATGAAATTGCGTTTACGAACAATTGTAACAGCAACAATAACGCCATTTGAAACAACAACTCGATGCCTAACCCCATCCTCCGCTCGCCCCAGCCGCCCCCCCACCCCTTTGTCCCAGCGCCAACCCTTGAGCTGAACTTGGTGTAGGGGCTGCCACACGGCTATGTTGTGCCACACAGTTGAACAGACCCGAACACATGTAAAAACATATTGTGCGAGCGTTGTCAACGCAAATATTTCACTTCCTGTCTTCGATTTGCCGCCCCTTCAATATTTGGCGGCTGCGGCGCCACTTTGTTTGTTTTCTGCTTTCTTTTGCCTTTTTTGTTTATCTTTAACTTGGTTCAAAGGTCAAGGCTTTTCACGTTTAATTAGATACGCGCGACGCTGCCAGGGGCGTGGCTCAGTTTACGGCATTTGAATTACAAATTTGGTTAACAGAAATTGCGGGAAAAAGTTTTTAAAGCACAGACTTCAGCTTAAATGTCGCATCTGTATAGTGAGTGTGACCAGCTTTTCTGCTGTCTGCGTCAAATATCGCCTCTCTATGCGATTTTCACAAAGTTTAATTAATGTTTACAGGCGTCTTATGCATATTGCAGTTGAGATAGTGAAAGAGTAAAGTAGTTTAAGACAGCTACGCTACCAGGAATGTTCCTTATTTTATAAGAATTAATGAGTCAAAATAGGTTCAAAATTCGATGATACTTGATCTACTGTGAAAACAATATACAAATGAATAAAGAACAACCGCAGCTGAAAGCAATGCAACAACTTAAAGAGTTATCAAGAACTTAAGGAAGCCAAGGCATGATATGGTAGACTGATAAATACTCTATATATATACATAAATATATAGTACAAATTCTTGGACAATTTCTTGACAATTTCTATAGATCAAGTGCATTGTCAAGCGTGTTGTTGTTATTTTATATTTATTATTAATTGAGAGAAGCACAGTTTTTCACATTTTCCGAAAGAGCGTTAATTTGATTTGCTCTGCCCAAGATTGAGAAGTTCGCCGGGCCAACAGATAGCGACTAAGTGCCCCCTGCCCCCGCATCGGCAACAACTGCCGTCGACTTTCAACTTGCAACAAATGCCAATCTCAATATTTCAGTTGCATTTCGATTCATTTGCGTGTGCGAGCTGCTGCAAACCCATTTTCCTACAGTTTTCCTGCACCGCATTCAACCCATTTCCTCAGCCAAATGGCGTCGACAGGGTTGCCAGCTGTGACTACACTTCAACCCGGCGACTACTCTGCATATGATTTAATTATGTTTCATGTGTGCAGCACAAATGGGTTTTCAGACATTAGGAGCTATTACAGTTCGAAATTAAACTAATTGCAATCGCTTATTCATATCAGTTTTAACGAAAATCTTTGCCTTTCTTTGCTCCTCGGCTTTTCCTGCATATGTCATGATGGGCCATATAAATAATTCATCAAATTTTAATTTCCTCACAAATAGTCTTATGCTAAACAGCAGCTCAGGCCAGAGCTGAATATTTAGAATGTATCAATGGACAACATAAGTGCAGCATATTCTTAGGCATTCGCTCCAGCTTTTTTTATGGGCTGTATGGCGAGAAGATTTATGAATAGGTAAGGAAAACTTAAATTAAATTATGTAAAACTTGAAAAGAAAGTTTAAAAATTATTATATCATACGATGGACTACCTAGCGCTGTTTATAGAGCATACACCTAGTCGATCAGTGCATATACTCATTTATCTTTCTATCAAGTTGTTTCGTAATTGTTGTCAAGCCATGGAAATAACTTTCCAAACTGTGACGAACATTGAGCCTCAGTCGACCAACTTCTCTAGTTGAATACAAATCGCCAACTATAGAAAAGTATTCACATATATCTATTCCGTAAAATTGTCTTGAGCCAAAAGCAAAGCATTTATTTTATAAATTCATATTCACAGACTAAAGAAGCCAAATGATGTACTCGGGTAAGCGTAAGCCACTGTAAGGCGAGAAATAATATGATATTAAGTTTATATATTCTCGATCAGTAGCCACTAAGCTGGGCTGATATAGTCTGTCCGTCTGTATGTCAGCTAGTCGCAAATTTCTGACAGTTCCGACTTTTTGTTTCGATCAGCATCTTTATCGAAATCGAACGGATCGGATCACTATGTCATATAGCCGATAGCTTTTGTTCTCAGGTAATCTTGACATTCTCTATTGAAACACTGTATTATATAGATATATAGATACATTCTGTCAAATTCTCTGTGAAATTTTCTATGTTTGTATCTGACTCCAAGCCCTTATATCTCTAATAGAAAGTTTAAAAATGTTGGGCTTTCTCTCGGGTTTCACCTGTTTTCTGCCTCCCCCGCAGACAACGATGCGTATACCGGGGGCACGGCCAGGCAAGAGACAACTAGATCTATGCCGGGCATAGCTAGACGACCACATGGTTTCACATCCCTGCAATTGCTAAAGCAGAACAAAGAGAAGAAAGCTAGACGCATGCAGCTAGCCGTAAGTTCGCTGCCCGACCGAATCGCATGGAAGCTAAAAACCTAATGCCCCACTTAGCAGGAGAATTTGGAGATGGAATCAGAAATGGTCAACATGTCCACGCAGACGGACAGCTCGATTGTAATGCTCTGGATGCACGAATTGATGGGCTCACTGCGTCCGATGGTGCCGCGGAGTCGTGTCTGCGGCTGCATCTGGTACGATTATTTTACTGGAAGGCATATTCGTACCACATTCTATTTGGTTCTGGTTGTCGCTGTCATCGTATTGAATTTGGATGTGCTCTTGAGCATTTGCGAAAAGTGCAAGAAATTGTCGAAATTTTAGTTCAGTTTTTGTTTCTCCAATGAGTCCACAAATCGTTTGCCTCAACAAATATTTGTTGGCATAATATCAACTGGTCTGTGTTCGATGTAAGTCCATAATAAATGTATTGAGCTATGCGAGTTGCTTATAGACTCTGATGGACAGATACATATATAGTAGAGATGTACGCGGGCCGGCTTCTTAAGGCACGAAGAGCACGAACACGCACGAAAAAACTTTAACAAAGCACTGTCCAGCTAAACACGGTCGGGAAAAGAAAATTTACAATTATTCGCTTTTCATAATTTATGTCGAATGTTCATTTGCTTTTATTTGTCTCTCAAAGATTCTATTTTTATATCCGACCCATTGAAAATGACAAATTTATTTAACAGGCAGAGGAAGTCACGTGCGACCCCGTGAAGTGTATATATATATATATATATTCTCGATGTAGCCATGTCCTTGTCTGTCGGCCCGCCTGAATGAGCGCGAAATTTAAAATATATTGTCTCCCATAGCCAACGCAGAACCAGATTTTCATTTTCTTCAATATACTCCCATTCATAATACCGATAAATATCGATTTTGAGATATATGTAGGTTTTAATGGATCAGAGCTAGATACACCAAACTTGCTATGTAGACTCTCGTATAGTATACGTAGTATATTATAGTATATTCTTGATCAACATCAATAGTTAATCCGATCTAGTCATGTCTGTCTGTCTGTCTGTCTGTCTGACTGACTGTCTGACTGTCTGTCTGCATATCCGTTTGTATGAACGCGTCGATCTTGTCAACTAATGGAGCTAGAGACTTACAATTTTAAACATACATATATATTCTGCTATTTACCACAACAAGGTTTTATCATTTCTATTCGATATCTTGACGTATATCCATAATATCGATAAGAATCGAAATTGGGCATTGGTTTCTTAAGCATAACTCGGGCATGAAATTTGATATGTTGGCCTTCGTATTGTATGCATAGCCTAGGAATAATTCTGTTTTTGGATAGTTCCCCCAATTTTGTCCAAAATTGAGAAAATACTCGTTTTTAAATATTAGAGCCTTGTGATTTGGGTTATGTATACATTTGTTTGTCATATTTATGATCTTCATGAAGATCGGACAATAAGCATCGATTTTATTCAACATTAAACTGCCAATATTGAATGCATCTAAGCATTAGCTTAATGGAACTTATATTGGGCTGAAAATGAGAAGAAGAATACAATACAAAAGTATTATAGTAGCTAAGGGCTACAGAGGATTGCGTTCTTATTTGTTAAACACGATAAAGTCGTGCTAAAAGTTCTTAGCTGAAACTATCGACTCGATTTGATTTGGTATTTCTCCCTGATATTTCTCCCTCTTTACTTGAAAGCCCGGGCTCTGCGTGTTTGCTTAGGTTTCCGTAGAATAGAATAGAAAGCGGCCCGTCGTGTCACGTTGAAAAAGCACGACACATACCCAGCTCTAGTTAAATGCACTGGCCACACTTTATGCGAGAGCTTAAACGATGATTTCCAGATTTTAGAACTTCACTCTCACAGACATTGACATGGACACACTGAGGACAGTTGTTGACATGTTGCCTCTCAAAACTGTTGCATTCTTCTCTAGCTTGGTGTGTGTGTGTGTGTGTGTGTTGCCTTTTCCGGTCTTTGACATTTACAACAGTTCGCCATGACAGCCTTGGGTTATAGACGCAGCGGGGCAGATGGCTGGGGCTTGTTAGTGATAGCATATAGACTGAAGGGTGAGACGCACACACACACACCCACACACACACACACACACTCACAAACTCACGCAAACACACACGTGCTAAAACCATAATGGCGTCATAAAGATGATATCATAATTTCCTACTTTGCTTTTCCTTTTTGCCGTTCCGCTCTCTCAGTTTACTGTTGCACACTTTGCGTTGCGACTATTTGCCTTGGCCTGGACATTTAGCTTTTTCTTTATAATTTTTCCACTATTTTTTTTTTTTTGCCTTTTTGTCAAGCATTTGAATTGTGGCGTCAATATTTGTCAGCCCAGCCCTCGAGAGTCGTCACCATAAGCCGAACTCCTGACGTTCGGACATCCTAAGGTTCTCTTATTCTCACCCCACGGCTCCACTCTTAATGGGCAACGTACAGCAAATTGTTCCAGGAAATTGAGCGAGCTGCACTTCAAGTGAATTCCACTGGTAAATGCGCCACTAAAAAATATGAATATATTTAATGCCATAAAGTAAGATATAATAAAAAATAAAATAATAATAATAACAACAACAACAACAACAACGAGAAACGGCGCGTGCCAATCCGCAGCATTCTAGGCCGGAAACTCGTTGGGGGCGGCGATTTCTGCTGCAATGCAGCGTTGCAATTCAAATGAATCCAAATGCTAACCCCTCGTAGCCAGGCAAGAGGAATCTATTTAAAGTATTCATACGAACGAGGGGAACGCTGGCAATGAGAAGCACCGAGAAGGGCGCGACTTTTTAAGTGGAAGCGATAAAAGCGTTGACGTTGGGAGCTCGAATCTGTTAAGTGCTTGCTTTGGCGTCTGTACACATCTGTAGACAAGCGCTACGAAACGACTCCACACGATAGGTGGCGATAGTTGGCACTATCGATAGCTTTGATTGCTATTCCAGCGAGCTAATATGTCATTTATCCGTTGTACTCCAAAATTTACCAAATTGGCAACATTTAAAGGCATTAAAAATCGAATGTTGTAACTATCGATACTATCGATAAGTCATAAGAATAAAAAACGGTAGGGAACTATCGATAGTTTTGAAGGTTTATATTGATAATAAGGATAGTTAAGTTGTCATTGTCGATAATATCGATTAGTCGCAGGAGCCAAGGGGAGTTGTATTATTATTCTCGTTGAATTGTTAAGATGTATCGATAGTGTTGACGGTCGATATCCATTAAAACGATAGTTTAGTTTTCACTGTCGATATTATACATAGGTTGCAAAACTTAAGGTAAGGGCTATTATACATTCTCTATATGATGGAATCGATATCGATAATACCGATAGTTAAGTTGTCACTGTCGATATTATCGATATGCTGTAGAAGCAATGTTAGGGTGTATTAAGAATTATCTTTACATTGGTAGGCACTATCGATTGTTTCCACCGTCGATATCGATAGCTACGGTATTTTAGTTGGGGGGTTTTTAAATCGTTCGCAGTCATAAAATCAAGTCGTTCGGGTTTTATTTTACTAGTTTATTCATAGAAACTTTATTATATGAGTTTTAAAGACATTATATAATGCCATGAAAATATCGATAATGCTGAAAACAATCGCTTAGCGATCTTTTATGGCATTGGCACATATTTAACCGGTCTGACCAAATGCTGCTGCATTATGTATGCCGCAATCTTTTGGCGACTCATCGAACGTCAGTTGGCTTTAACTTGTTATGAGTATATGCACACACATATTTGTTTTTATCTGCTCAGTTATTGTGGTTACAGTTGTCTTAATGAAAATTCATTAAATGAATTAAACATTTTTTATGACGCCTTCGCCTTAATGGCTTTCCGTTGGGCACGAAACTTTGCGCTTCGCTTCGTGTTTCGTGTTAACATTTAACGCACCCTAAACGCACAGCCCACCACCCATCCACCGCCTGCTCCTCTTCAGTGGAGTGGGGGATGGGGAGCGAGTGAGTGGGGGAGTGAGAGGCTCCTCTGCAGCCTGGCAAAGTCGGAGAACTGTTAACCGGGAAACTCGTGCAGACCACAGCTCGGGCGCAAGTTAATAAAACTTTATTTGCATTTCAATTCCTTTACTTGCGTTTTATATTTATTTCGATCATTTTGCAAGACAATTGACATGAAATCAAATGAGCTGAACTTTATGGGTCGGGTCATTAAAATCGAATATGTACGTATCTTGCTCGCCGCACTCGCGCGTTTTGAACACACAAAAAGCCGAACTAAAAAAAAAAAACGAATCAGAACTACAATTTTGTGATTACATTCTCAGGTTGAAGAACTCGACAATGCCCAGCAATGCGTCGAAATCGATCAGAAATCCGCAGGCAACCGATAGGGAGAACAATATCGATGATAGCTGCTCGGACACAAAGCTATCGTACTCGCACTTGGGACTCAATGCATTCTTCTCCCTGCTCGAATTGGTTATCAACTCCTCCAGCCATAATATTTCCATATATTTTTCGGTCTGTGTGGCCACGGTGACCTTTAGTGCTTTCTTCGACTTATCCTAAGTTAAAATTGCTTTAAACAGGCATAAATTAGTGTGGAGCTAATCGTTGGCTATTCACTTTTTTCTTATATTTCTTTTCTCTTTTCTCCCTCAGCGTCTTTAGGGTTGAGTAGGCCGATGGGCGTTTAGCTATGCCAGGCAGAGATCTAGCCGTATCATAGTTAACATAAGTCAATTCATCTTCATCTGTGTCATCTGCTTAATTTTTGGGGAATATGATTAGAAGCAGGGAATATCGAAGTACAAATTTCAATAATCCTTTTAATATCACTGTCATCTAAGGCCCTTCTCTATCCACACACCTTTCCTTTTCGATTAACTACACTTACCTGTGGACATCTTTGGACTTTTTTACCTAGTGTTTTGCTTAAGCAAATTTGTGATATTTTTATATTTATATAAAATATATATTATTTACGTGATTATACGATATGTTCAGGACTAGTGAACTAGTCCGAATGAGAATTTCGACTCCAGTCTATAGTTAGGTCGTTTTTGACAGCTTGACAGCATTTCCGTTGGTAAATTGTTGCACTCAATTTAAGTCTAGAGAACTTTAACTTTCGTGGAATAAGTAGAATATTTGAGATGCCGAAAATGAAATATCTTTGCCCTTGATATATGTGCAACCCAGAGCGAATGCGACTATAAGAGAGAGAAACTAGTTTGTAAAGAAGCAAATAGATCACAATAGATGTATAGCTAATATTTATTAATTTTTTCAGTATTTTTATCATTATTGTTTATAGTATAATTAGCATTCTAGGATATATGATTAAAAGGATTTGAACCAGCATCTTCTCTAGAAGACTGTGCCGCTTAAACAGCTTATCTAACAAGATCTTCCCACACAATATAACTAATGACATCGGAGTTGCTTCTATTAATGCATTAAATATTTTGTTACATAATTATCATAATAGGCAATTAGTAGTTGTGCAGTAGGTTAAATTGCATTATAAACTTTCTCTATCATTTTTGGCTTCACTTTGTGGTTTGTCTTGTCTGTTTTGGGAACGTGCCTAAAGTAACATCTAATCGCATTGGCCTCCAACATCTGTTGGTGTCCTGTTCGTAGGCTGTTATCGAGCAGCTCCTTGAGAGTCAGCTGGCTTTGTATTGTGCTCCAGCACAAGCAAGTCTCGTAAATTTAATGATGTTTTTCTGCGCTGAGTTTTTGGTGTTTGGTTGGGGCCGTGTGGGGCTAGTTGGGCATTGTGCTCTCTCTCTCTCTCTCTCTCTTTCTCTCTCTCGCTAAGCCACTTGGTGCCTAATGAAGGCGTTGATGAGACGCCGGCGCCTGCCGACGCCGACTCCGACTCCGGCTGCAAGTGTGTCTAACGTTCTAGAAATAACATTTGTTGGTAATAAATTCCAAAGATAATACACCCACTGGCTGTGCTTGTGCCACAGCTGCCGCTCCTGCCGCCTGCCGCCTGCCTCCTGCCACGTGCCACGCCAGGCGGCCGCCATAACTCGACTCAGCTATTTATTGCAGCAGCCAAGCGGCATCAGTTGCCAACTTGCCTGGCTGCTGCTGCTGCTGCTGCTGCCGCCTCAACTTGTTGTTGTTGTTGTTGCCTGCCAGCCACTAAGCTAAGCACAAATATAAATTTGCACACACACACACACACACACACAGAACCGCACACACTGAAATATTACACCTGGAATTGGCGCGGCTGAGAGGCGTTTTTCACGCCCACGCACAATAACACAAATAAACACACACAAACACAAACACACACATGCACACACACACACACACACGCGTCTCTACGCACTTGGAGCTTTTAATGAGTGTGTGTGCGTGCGCGCATATAATGATGCGTTTATTAATGCCAGTCATAGTCTTTATTAACAAGATGAGCGCCCATCTAAACTAATTTTGGGTTTTTTAATTATCAAACATCTTCTTGTGTTTCATTTAATTATTTCCAGATATTAACTAACTAGTTGATGCGGCTATCTTGGCACGCCCATCCGCTTGGATACCGCCTTGTGAACCAGCCGCCTTTTGCGACTGGCTTTCAAGTATTTTTATTTTCTGAATAAAGACATATTTTTATCAGCTAAATTATTTACAACAAATTCATATGGTAAATATTCTTACTGATTCTTTTTTACAGGTTCATTAAGTCGGAACTAGTTTGGAATAGTGCTCTGAACGGAACCACCAAAAAGGTATGCTATTTTTGATTGTATGTATTAAAAGCTCAATAGTTTATGTCTATTAGCACTTAAAAAATTAAAAGTTCTTTAAAAAAAAAGACTCTTAAATCTTAAGTTTAGCTTTGAACTAGTGAGTCTTTAGTTCAATTAGACCTAAACAAATTTGATGGGTTGAAATGTTTAGCCTACTGTGAACTCTTTGGTTTTTATATGATTTTCGACTAAGATAATATAAATATTAAATACAATTAAAAATAATGTTTTGATAACTTTATTTAAAAATCAAAAATTAACTTAAAGAAAAGATAAAGATTGAATTAAATAATAAAATTAATTAAATACATATGAAGAAGGGCAAAAAGTGATAGAATAAATAAGGTTTTTTAAATTGAGTCGAAAAATACTTAAGATCTTAAGCACAATAACAGACAATAGAAATGCTCGTTAATCAAGAACAAAATTTTTATTTTATGAACAAAATTCTTAACTTGATATATGCTTAAGATTTTAAGCACAATTCGTTCTATATATGTTCGTAAATCAAGTATTATCTTTTTATTTAAGCATCAAATTCTTAGCTTAAATTGTGCCTACAATCAAGCACACAAATTTTATTTTAAGCACAAAATTCTTAACTTGACATATGCTTAAAATCTGAAGCACATTTCGATTTATATTTGGTCGTAAATCAAGTATTTGAGGAATCAGGAATAAAATGTTTATTTTAAGTAGAAAGTTCTTAACATGAGAAAAGAAAACTTATTTCGAGCACAAAAAATATTTTATTTAAATACGACTTATAGATAGGAAAGTGTTGTTTTAGAGCATGTAATCGTCGCTACGCCCAAAGATGACAATGCTACAACTCGGCACCCGCCCCCGCGCCATCCGCCCACCTATTGCTAGGCTTTTGTTTTTGTTTTTTGTGCTTTCATCTACAACATTTGCCACTTACTCATAAGGGGCAAATGGGGAAATAGGAGCGCGGAGCGCGAAGCGTGTGTGGCACGCGGAATGGGAACATGTTGCTTCGTTTCATGGGCATGGGCGCACGGGGCGTGTCATTAGGTTACATACATTGCTGTAATTACAATTCACTGTGGAACGCACAATGCGCCATATGAGCCGAAAGGCGGCAGAACCGAGTCGGGGCTCTTACCTTACCTTGTTAGTGCGAGTATGCAAATTGGAGGCGTTCGCGGGGGCGGGCAGCTACTGTTGCTGCTGGGTCATTGATGGCAGAGTTCGCAGTAGTCATATGTGTGGATTGTCTTCGTGTGGATGCTGCCTCTCTCTCTGTGTATGTGTGTATGTGTGTGTGTGTGCGGGCTTGAGAGAAAAAAGCCGTTCACCTTTTTCAAAAACAACAACAAAATTATGTCATAAAATGTTTTTGCGTTCGCTGCTAATGTCGAGAGCTAACAGAGACAGAGAGAGAGAGTGGGAGAGAGAGAGAGAGAGGTAACGATACACCCACACACACCACACACACAGCTTGCCACAAAATGCCGCATTAAAATCACAAAATACAAATACAATATGCAGGAGGGCCACAGTCTGTGGTTTCTCCTGCCACATGCAAAACCCATAGGCGACCAACCAGCATCACCCAGAACCACCCACCGAAGCACCACCCACCGCCGGCAGCTACACGTAGCGGCAACTTTTATGTTTATGAAAAATTACGTGAAAGCACCGGCACAGTGGGCGTTGAAATTGGTGGGCGTGCCACTGTGCCAGCCAAGTGACTAACTTTTCAAAGTTGCCAACGATAAAAGGCGCTACAAATTTCGATATGGAATATTTCCCAGTTATTATCCGCAAGAACAGCTGCTTTTGACTACACCATCCAAAATCAAGGCTCTTACACGCCCGATTGCCCTGAGACCCATTTACATACTATATACATACATACATACATACATACATACATACATATGTACATGTTGCGCCCCCAACTCTGCCCCAAGCAAAACTCCCAGTCGCCGCAAATTGGGCGCGCAGGACTCTCTTCTTTGATCCATTGAGTCAGCTCATGTAAGCTGTCATTAGAGACGGAATCCAGTTGATCTCCATGTGTGTCTGCTGTTGTCTCCGATACGGTCCCCAAAGTTATGCAAAAGCCCAGAGTACATTATATGAAATATACTTTGATTTATAACATACACACATATGTACATATGTACTTACCCAAAAAAATCACAATATTCACACACGCATTGGATGCATGCATGCATATGTATGCGTACATACACATTTGGATGCTCACATTATTACGTTCAAATATACAAGCATGCAAAAATACATACATACATACTTTCATAAATGCATAAAAGCATACATACATACATACATACACATAGGCATTCATATCTATTCTTACATAGTACATATATATATAGCTAAATTCATATCTACATTTGCTCATAGAAACACTTTGGATATATGCATGCATACATATATGTATGTATACATACACACATATGTACAAACATACCTACATACAAACATATGTATGTATATGCACTCAAAGAAGAGTAAGAGTAAAAGTAAGAAGAAGTAAAAGCAATCGACGTTTAAATCTAAATTATTACTTAAAATTAAAATAAATCTGTTTTTGTGCAAATCGTTTTTTCTGTTACAGTTAAGTTTATTAATTTTTGATTTCGCATACATAGTTTCGCGTGTTTGTGCTCATCTTTCAATCGCATCGCAATAGTTGTTGTTGTTGGTAAGTTTCTCTTACGTTCCTCTCGTTTGTCTTAGCTTTTTGTTGCCCTTTTGCGCTTTTGCCTTTTGCTGTGCTCGTATGCAGCTGTAGTCGATTAACAGACAACACACTCTTGCCCTTCGTCCCGCCTGATTTACCCATCTGCTGTTATCTGCTCTCCGCGGCTGAGACCCGTTTGTTCTTGTTGTTGCTTGCGTTCTTTATCTTTATTACTTGCATTCGCATACAGTGGTTAAATATCTATTATTAGCCCAAGACTTACTTCACTTGCATATCTTATTTATTACAAAAAGGTCTTATTATAATTTAAATGATTGCACAATTTTGACGGGATCCGAGCACTGATCTTGTTTCTTACCTGTTCAAAGTTTAGTTCTAATTTATCGATTATATCATCAAGTCGATTGTGTTTTATCAACTCGATGAGACTGCCACAAAGGTAAAATGATTTGTAAGCTGCCTGTCACATTTTTGAAAACGTGCATTCAAATTTCTCCAGATCAACTGGGAAAGTCATCGCCTTATGCCTTTATGCACAGTCCAAAGTTTAAGTCGCAACTATTTTAT